CATACCGTATGGTAAACAGACATTAGTAGTGAACAAGCCTAAGATTTATTCATAACAGAATTGCTATGATTTTGGCATTTGAGGTTTCACTTTTTGGATCTATTTCCTCAAAGAACCTTATAAGAAGAACCTTTTGCTTGGATAAGTCTTTTTCTTTTATGGGAAATCTGAGCTCAGGATACAGTTTTGCAAGAACATTCATAAACATAGCTTTAGAAATTGAGTCATGAATTATTATTGATGTTCAAGTTGTTCTTTGAAATGGCTTGTTTCTTTGGAAAAAAAAATTCTACTCTCAAAGTTTGCATCAGTTTCCCTGTTACCTGCTGTTGACTTTTGGGCTCTTGTCTACCACCTCTCCTTTGCTACATTAGTTGGTTAATTTGGATTAGAAATTAGGGGAAAAAATAGTTAATATATTTTCCTGTTCATGGCAGGTGCTAAGTAGAAATGTCACACAGATATCTTCACAAACCACAAAAAAACCCCACATCAATGCAAAACAAGTTTTAAAATTCTGCAATTATCTACAAAACCTGTGTTACTGACTGTCACTTGGAACAAATAATCAGTGTTAATCACAGACCGTCATCTGGTTTTGAATTCCTTAAGCTTGGCTTTAGGGGTTTATTGTTCTGGTGATGGTTCATTTAATATCAGGTAATTGGGTGACTCGTTTCTTATAATGAAACTTCATTTTATTATTTTTTTTAGAACTTGAAGAAAAAATGTCAAATTCCACCAGAACCTTCCTGCTAAATGCATTACTGTTGTTTCCCAATTACAACCTCGCAAAGGCTCTTGAGAATTATGCTTCCATTTACCGTGAGAAGGCACTGTGTTACTCTCTAAAATATCCTCCTGGCAACATAGACTGTGCTAAAGTAGGTAAGTATCTTGTGGGTCCCTAAGTATTTTTTTTTTAAATTAGTATCAGATTCAAAAGAGAATACATGTGTAAATCTTTTTACATGACTGGAGATAAACGTTTGTAAATGTCATGAAGCCTCAAAAGCAAATCTAAGGTAAAATGAAATTGCTTATTTTTGTTAGGTGCTGTCGGGTCAATCATGACTCATAGCAACCCTCTAAACAAAAAAATAGTCATCAGAGAAGAAGAGCTACTGATAATCATCCTTAGGAAGCTGTGGTGGTGTAGTGGTAAGACTTTGTACTGCCAATTCAAAGGCACACGGTTCAAGTCTACCAGCCACTCTGTGAGAAAAAGATGGGTAATTTCTTCCTGTGCAAGCCTCTGAAAACCTGCTGAAAGTGCGGCTACGAGTCAGTTCTGCAACCATAATAATTATCCTTTAAGTAGCTTTACATCTACTATTTTAAATCTTCTCAGCTCTTCAGATTCTGCGTTCTCATGTGCATTTTGAAGGTATGGTGTGCCTGTATCAGTTTGAATTCTAGTTCTGACTCATGTAAGCTAACTGAACTAATGTTCTCTTTCATTGCTTTTTCTTGGGAAAGACTCTCAATGGGGAGGGGAGAAAGGAGTTTATAGTGTAATTGCATTTTATGTACGTTTATTATTCTTATCACTTTCACCACTACACAGAATCACTCACATTTAGCAGTCCACAAGTTATAACCATTTACCTCATACATGGGAGAGAGACTTAAATGTTTGTTAATACATGGGGGAAACAGAAAGTAATGATTTGAGCATTGAAGAATAATTCAATGAACTATTGCATGGAAATAATAAGAGGAACAGGAAGGGTAGAAAAGGGGAAAGGAGAGATAATCCCTAGGATGGTAGAAGTTAGTGGAAGGGGGGAAACAGTGGTAGAAAGTGTTGTGAGGTCTTGGAGACACAGTGTGATACCAGACTGGGTTGCTGCTGTTGTTGCTGCTGCTATTAGGTGCTGGTGAGTTGAACACAGATCACAGTGACCCTATGAACAGCCATTCTGAAGCCTGCC